AATCAAAAATATTTTTACTAATTATTTTGTTTTTCAAATAAAATTTTATCGTGTGAGTGCAAGTTTTTGTTAAAAGTGGGTTATGGGGCCGACAGCGGCCGGTTACATAACGCGTTGAATAACCACTGACCTTGTGCAAGAGTTGTTGTAAACGTTCAAGTTCAAGTCATTACGTTTCATATCAAACGTGGTATTTGAGAATTTATCAAAACCAAAATTTATATAAAAACACGACTCGGCAACTATACGGCAATAGTAGCTTAGCTCGCTTGGAACGCAAAGTGGAGCGGGTTCAAATCCCGGGTTCCGCACTTAGAAACTAGTTCGAGTGCGAGTTATTATAGGTATGATCATTCACCGCAAGATAATATGGAAAATATCGTAACACCTGCAAGTTCGAGAGAACCTAACTAGATTTCCAAAAATGCGTGAGCACTTAGTCAACGTCATAGACTAACTTTGTTTTTGTCTCCCTCGTTTCTCTATCTTTCTCGTGTGCCCAGCAAAGTACATTATTAGAGTCAATTCCTATACAGATATCTGTATTTATTTCTACGTCTAGTTTTGTTAAACCAATTTCCGTCATGTCGTCTCGATTCTACGTGACATTGGCGAAGATAGAGTATTGAATTGGACCACATTATTCTGGTTTTTATAAATTCGGAATTAACCGATTAATTCAATAAATACAGTATACGGAAATTGAAAGGATACGTGTAGCTATATACAGGGCCGAATTAACCATGCCGGGGTTTCTAGGCAATGCAATTCTCGGGGCCCTTTCACTCTTTCTTTTCTAACTTATTAAAATACATTTTTCGTAATTACGGTATTAGGTAGATTTCATAGAAATCTAACGGTTGCATTTGTCCTCATGATGGAATTTTCACCTATTTTTTTCACTCGATGATACATTTTCAATTTTTTTTCTCCGTGCGTGGGGCCCCTAGGCAGTTGCATAAACTGCCTTATAGATAATCCGGCCCTGGCTATATAGTTGGTAGATATCTAAACATTTTATCGGCTGTATAAAGTTTTAAGAAATTAGTCCTTATAACATTGTAGAAATTTTGAATTCTACAATTATATTCTTAAAATATCTCAATGCTGACTTAAAATATTATTTCATGCTGATCGATTAACATCAAATACTCGTAGCAGCTAGGAATAATTTTACATATTATATTTTTATGTGTTTGTATTTGTAATGTTTTATATAATAATAATGAAATTCTATTCGTCGGTATTGGTATTGGTATTTTGGCCATTTATGTATATATGTATGGCCATTTGAGTATCTTTTTACACTGTTCATAGAAGTCCGAATAAGGTTTTTAGGAAAAAAAATTGAACATGTGTTCGGAGAATTGTATAAGCTCAAAGGTCATAAATAAATTAATTGAAATCGGAATAAAAGTATTATAAATGAGAGGGAAATGTAAAATATAAAGAATTATTAAGGTTGATGAGACACTTCTTTAAGCTAATATATTATGTTAAAAATACGCTATTTTATCCACATTTTTATATCCTGGCACGAAAATTTTACATTTGCACCAATATTAAATGTCATTTGCATAATTATATAAAAAAATATATGCAAAAATTGGACCCGCAACATACGTAGCTTGCGAACGAAATGTAGTTGACCTTAACATTTATATTCATATTAGCTTTTTCCAATTTTGTGCAATCTGTAACAGTTAAAAATATTATTATCCTCCTGCTGGAGTATACTGGTAAATTATTTGGTTACAAGACAAGATTTTTCCAGGATAAAAAGTAGCCTATGTGTTATTCTGATGTATGAGCTATATTATTGTAAAGTTTCATTAAAATCCATTCAATAGTTTTTGCGTGAAAGAGTAACAAACATCAATACATCTATACATCCTCACCAACTTTCGCAATTATAATATTAGTAGGATGCTTTAAGCTAAGAATATGCTTATCTCAAAATCATTTTAAATGTAATTTTCTTTTGAAAATCACTTTAATTATAATTTTGTTTTCGTATAAATTGAATTTTATACGAGTATGATAACATCCTTGGATGAACTAACTAACCATCTACTCAGTAAAAAAAAAACATTAAAAGCTTTTCATTATCTAAATTCTTTGTATAGTTCAACATAGAATAAGACTCAAGCCAGATGCCTTGACGATTTTTAGTAATGTGTAGATAAATTTTTAGTAAATAGTAGTGATTTCGACCATGGCAGACAATTTTACTGAGACTAGCCATGTACGTAGCAGATATTATAGTACACCAGTACCTATACGTGCAATCACAAGTGCACTCTCTATTCCTTTCACTCTTAAACTCTGGTAGGGCGCCACAACTTGTCAGGTAAATTAGACGCAGGACCGACGATTTTATATGCTGTCCGAAGCGTCGGTTGTAACACCAACAACTTCCCTACTCCGGGCTGTTATTAAGAGTTTCTTGACCAAAAAACCCTATAACTATAATTGACCCAACCCAGGATATGAATCCAGGACTTCGGGATCTGCAGCTATATGCTAGGCTCTAGATCTCCGAGGCATTCAGTTTATCATATTAATCACTAGATAAAGATCCTTAGATAGTAGTATATGTCCCTCACAGACACTTTAGTTTTCAGCGTTTTTAACGTCCTACAGCTGGGCACGGGCTTCCCTTCAATATGAAAGGGATCAGGCCATAGTCCACCTCGCTGGCCAAGTGCGGGTTGGTTGTTTTCACATGTCTTTGAAAAACTTGCTTGATTCTCATAGACATGCAGGTTTTTTCACAATGTTTACCGAAAGGCAATTAGTAATCAAAAATTCTTTGCATATGAAAATATAAAAGGTTCGCGATCCGAGATTTGAACGCGCTTCACTCGATTTTCCAAAGGAGCACGCTGCAAACGGTCGCTGTAATTTGGCAGGGATATACATATTAGTTACATCGACAAAGTGGTAAAATAAAACCTAATAAAATAAAATTAATGGTACCTCCTCTACACATAAAGTGGAGATGTATTTTTTTCGTCTAACATATGATTTGGGGTATCGTTGAATAGGGTTTTCAAAAATATTGTGGGTTTCTAAAAACAATTTTTCGGTTAAGGGATTCGTTTGTGAAATATTGAGCTTTAAAGTGCTTATTTTTGTTAGAGTCACGTGACCTCCCTCACCCCTTTCCTCTCTCTTCTCCCCCCTGCCAGTTAAATAGTTGATTTTGGTCATGTGAAAAAATTCACGGTAATAGTATACATAACGAAGTTAAAAGGTAAACTATCACAGCTACGAGTAAGTAGGCTTTACAAGTAAAAATTTCGTATGAATTCCATTAAAAATAGCTTATATAACGTTGTTAGTTGTGTAAAATAGGTACTAAATATAAGTTTATGAACCATGTAAAAATATCTATACTATAATAAAACTGTAGCGGTCGATTGTCTGTACATTTCAAAAAAATGCTAAAAACCGAGTCAGAGGGATGTAAGAAGACAAATAGAACAAATCCAGATTTTTTTCAATTTTTTTGTTTCTCTGTCTGTTTGTCTGTATGTACGGGCTAATCTCCGAATCTATTGGACCAATTTAAATGAAATTTTGTGGTAAAAAATAAAAAATGGTGGTACCTTATATCCCCGGGCAACATCTTAGATACTTTTTATCCCGGAAAATTAAAGAGCTCTCGTGGGATAGTTAAAAAACTATAGTATCTTATACAGCTTAGTACACAACAACTTATGCACGGAATTTAGTAAAATTTAACATTCTGATACCTTATATTGCCTGTCAAACAACAGGTTACTTTTCATCTCGGAAAAATGAACGGTTCCCGTGGGAACTAATAGATTTCTATTAGTAGTAGAAATATAAAATCTCAACATCTCTAACGTTTTTAGACGTTACAAGCCGCCGAAACCGTTGAAGTTAAATGTTAAAAGCCCTCTTCTTAGTCCGTATTATTGTGATAAACAACTACGGAACCCAACATTGCGCGTGGCCTAACACGCACTTGGCCGGTTTTTGTTTTTTCCCTCTTCATATTGATTCTATAGATTACATTCTAATTAAAAATGACTAATACGACTTCCTTGTTTGTGTAACCAAATTAATAATATTTATTCCCACCAGGGCCCTGCTCATTCAACGTGTTAAATTAAATATTGGCTCATCTATATTATGCAAAGGAATGCTTACGTACTAGTTTATTACTTACCCATTATTTTAATTTTACGACATAAATACATTATCGCCTGCACTTTTTTAATTTTATAAACTTTTTTTGAAATTTGTATTTTTATTTAAAAAAAGGTTGTCCTCTTTCATACAAGGGATAGACGTACTAATGTTATATTTTGTATATAGATAAAAAAGTAACTGGGTATTTTTTACACATGGCATAGATCACGGAATGATTCTTAAAGAATTATTACAACAAATCTACAATGAACTTCTTAATCAAGCTCAAATAGATATTTATAGACACATTGCTATTTTAGACAAAATTCTAGATTCAAAATTCAATAATTGTGCTTGAATTGTGGACTTGAAGATTTTGGGTCAACGCTCGCTGCACCTTGCCACCACTGACCACCTTGCGACACAAATATTAGCAAGATATTGTATAACAGTCGCCTACTAATAATGGAAATGAACTATAGATCATAAAATATGTATATGCGCTGTATTACAAAACTAATATTTAAGCAACTTATTCGCATAATATAATTTCATTTAAAACACTGGATCAAGGTTATAGATTCGATGTCCTAGAGTATTTTATGTTCTAGCACAAGAACAGCTTCATCCTGAGTATAGTAAAACGAGTTTTTTCTGTGTTTTTAAGGAGACCGTAAATATATTTCGAGAACGGAAACCGAAGGCTTCTAAAAATCATTTAATAATATAACATATGAAGTAATTTCTCATAAAACTTGTTACTTTTCTTCGTTTGTTGTTACTCTTATGTATACATGAACATAACAATATAATTAACCTGATGTAATCTTTAATCGTAGCGGAATATTTGCTGCCATGTAGTCGGAGCGACCCAGAATTGGACAACTGCATAAAGGGATCTTTCAACCACTTACGGCCGTACTTAGCTAGAGGTCTTGATGATCTGGACGTGCCTCCTGTTGAGCCACTGTTCATAGATCGGCTGGCGATGGAAAATGACGCAGGCCCGGTCCGAGTGAGAGCTACATTCAGTAATATCACCGTGGTAGGACCAAGTAATTATACTGTGACGAAAATTAGGTAAGTTCTTTTTTCTTTTTCTCAGATTATTATAATTGTAAATTTCAAATAACTATATCTATAATATTGTTATTTATTATCTATCTTGTATGTGAAGTGAAAGCATGCTGCTATCCATATCTAATATGGCTTAAGCAATACTAAATTCTAAATACTTCGACATAATCAAGTACTCTATTTTAACACAGTTTCCAATATTTAATAAAAATAATTCAAGTTTTTTTTAATAAATTTCGTTTTCTATGCACATAAGTTCTTAGCTTTTTATACCGAGTGTGTTATAAAATATCATAGATATCAAAAGGAGGTTTCACACTCAGAAATACATTACGAACTCATGAAATTTTTACAACAGACTGTACAGTACAGGCACTTTGTAATCGAAAATCATTTGTTCAAATTTTTGCCAATCGTGTAGAACCACCTTTATAGCGGTGCCGTCTCAAATTATTGTGGGCAACCAGTTGGCTAATAATAATCGCTAGACATATTTCGACACTCCTGCCCACTCTATAGCGAATATTATAAAAAATATTTTAAATCTAACGTAATTATATAATTATGTGTAATCTTAGCTACAAAATGTCTACAAATGGCGGTAATATTTATGTCAAGGCCACAAATAATGGAAGGCTACAGATTATTTTTCGTGAAAAATCCAAGACACCATTTATTTTAATAGCTCGCCGATTTGCACTACAATGGGTAAAACGTTCCAAGTGGCCATCATCATAACATTACAAAGTAACTGCAGCGTATGAAGGAATTACAATAAAGGCCTTAACTAGGCAATAGACTACAATGACTGTTTTATTATTGTTAAAACACTTGGAAATCGCTACGTTTTAGAAAAACAAAATTCCCAAACAATACATTTTGAATCATTTTCTTGATTGAAGTGTGTTTGGAAAATTGTAATAAATCTTTTAAATAATAAGTTAATATTAGTTATAACAATAGTGAATAGGTTAAATATAATATTAATAGTGTCCTTATTATAAATAATTTATTTTTGTGTATGGCTGCGAAATGCTAAGGTTTCAGTCGTTAAGTTTTCTATAAAATATAAACAAAAATATAGAATAAGCTGTGCTGATAAACACAAATGGCAAAGGTAGCATTGCACTGAATTTGACAATTGTGACGAAAATCGGAAAAGGAAAATTATATTTTTTATTTTTAAATATATTTTTAATTTTCAGGTCAGATTTGAAGAAATTACGAATTGACATGGGGCTGATGCTACCTCGCATTGAAGTCACCGGTCACTACGAAGTATCCGGACAAGTGTTGTTGTTCCCTGTACGCTCACAGGGAGACTTCTGGGCTTCCTTTAGTTAGTATACTCATTAATTAACTACAATTAAGAACATTTTGTGAATAATTATCCATAAACGTTGCTTATACGCATTGCATTGTATTATAGAGTCATACGCTATTTATTTTCTTTTGCTGGAGAAAAAGTTGGGACAAAATGAAAACTCTCTTTATTTTTGCTCGATATTAAGCTAATCCTCACAAATCATATGAAAATCATTTTAAGTACCAACATAAATACCCGTAGTAGCGTGTGCCATCGTTCTAATTCTATATAAGAAAACGTTCCACGCTTACTGCGTGATAAATGCAAATCGTAGTATTATCGCATTCGCATTTATAAAATTAGTGAGGGTTTATAAATTAGGAGTTTAGACAAAATATCATTCTACAAAATATGTTGAAGATTAGGTAAAAATTGTATTGAAATGACAAAAATCGTAAGGTCACAGAATCGTAGTACATATGCCATACTCATATTTTTTTATTTTATCTAAGCTCCCTATATTTCCAATTTGACAGGAAGTTTCGGAGATTAGCTGAATTGGCTTCTGCTTACTTTAGCTTAATAGTACACGTAGGATAGTTTAAAACTGAGTATTTACAAGTACTTACCAAAATTATTTACAACAAATGAACGAGTACTTTCTAAAGCCGAATTGCCAAGGTCTTAATTTATTTTACATCCTGAAAATGTCATGACTAAATGACATTCGATTCGTAGCTTTATTCTTATACTTAGAAAAAAAACCAACAACAACCTACAAAAAATACTGCTACATTTAAGGACGATTACGAAATAATTGCGTTCGTTTGATCCCTCGCTGTATTGTTATTACTAAAACTTTAATTATGTAATTAATATGTAGGATATTTAAGGATTTATTCTATAAATCGTACACTTTAGAAACACGATTACTTGTAGTTTTCTCGATAGAAAAAAATCCAAAATGATAACTACTACTAACTACTTACTAAGTAAACCTTTACTACCCTTACTGACGTAAATAATTCAAGGAAGTTCATCAGGTTTTTAATAATAACAAAAGTATACGATTTCTATAACGTATATACTTTACATTTTCAAAATAAGTATTTGTTTTAATAATACGAAGGAAAAAATTCGCACGCGTTCCGTCAATCCTAGACCCCCCCCCCCTCCCCTACCCGCTGTCGTCCTACTAAAATAAAAAGCTCGGTGCCCTCTTAACAAATATATGCATGAATAACAAATAAAGATTCTCGTAGATAAAATGCTATACGAGTGAACTATTTGTATTACCTTTCTTGATAGCTTACCTGCTCTCATATAAAATTTCTCCTCCATCAATCCAATATCACTCTTATTAGAAAACTCTACGTGGTAATGAAAATCTAGTGGGAGTTTGATTTCGTGTAAATTACCTACTTAATGTTTTTAATAGCGATGACTATTCAATTTAACATTTGGTAGTTCCACACATTCCTTATTACACACAACAATTTGGTCTACTTGTGAGCAATTTGGTTTTACCAAATAGACGCTAGATGTCGCCGATATTGGGCAGCTAGAGACACTATTGTGTGCACTATTTTATAAAACGCTTACTCTGAGATATGAGTATGGGTGTAGTTTAAAAGAAAAAAGTTTTGCTCTAATATAATATCGAAACATCAATAAAAAATAATAATAGCAAGATTATTCATTTGTAGATCAACAGTTATGGTCCACAACCTTTTTAGACAAATTTGTATATTTTCTAATATGTAATAATAAAATAAATATTAAAATAGAAATAACATATTATTCTTACGTGGTATAACGCTTGGATATATCACTACGATACATCCGCCCATCTCTTCATCCCATTCTTAATTTTCTATTGGCGATAACAATGGCTGAATTTTTAAATCCTTTTTATAAAAATTGTTTCCGCAACCTCCAGAGCAGTAAGTATCATGAGTCAAATTGATTCTTTTAATAATAGTGAATTTTGATGTGATAAAACATTTTCATGGAAAGTCGTAGTTTATAATTAATATTATTAAATATCGTGTAATATGCTGACCTACAAGGCTGATATGCTGATCAACCTCAACACAAGGTAAACGTGAATGCGATAAATTTATTATATGTATGTATGTATATGTATAAGCGTATTGGATGTGAACTCTTTAAAAGGATTTATTAATGAAGGTTAAACAAAACACAGGCAATCTTCCCAGTAAAATAAATCATAAATTATTTTGGCACTACAAATTGTATAAATATAAGCTACATATATTTTAAAAGCAACGAACAAAAAAGCTGAAGCTTATACAACAATTTCCTCATGTCTAAATTCAGAAATCATGAACATCCATACAAATTTTGATCCTCTATTTAAACCTTTCAGGGGTCGAATTTGCAAAAATAGCATTCATGTAGTCGTTACAGAAGCAAATTCTAAATAAATCATCATGTTTCTAGACCGAACAACTTGGGTTGTGCGTCAGTCTTTCAGTGAATGAATTCAAGATTTTTATTAATTTGATTCTAAGAACCATTACTTTAGTCGAAAATACAGTAATATTATGCAACTAACAACCCCATCTTGATTTGTTTCGACCTTTCCTCTATGGCACGTTTCATGGACATCTCTATGTATATGAATATGAAGTGAATGTGATTCTCAGTTCCATTTCCTATACAATCTCTTACTCCATGAACTTAAGGATGTCCTTAATGCGTAAAAGAAGAATATACTGGCAATATTGTAATATTAAATAGGATAATATTAGTAAAAATAAATACAGTAAGTCGTCCTTTGACACACCTTTATGTTGCAGATGACGTTGTCGCTATCGTCAAGATATTCGGCAAAGAAATTGTACGGGAAGCCGTCAAATATATGTCAGCTGATCGTATGCAAGTTGACTTTAAGCTTAAAAGCGCTCGTTTTAAGGTCAGAGATACAGTAAACCATGGAAGCGTTATTGGTAAGTTGTTATTTTTAAAGAATAAAAGATCCTCCACCATAAATAAGAAATATTCTAAGAGAGTATTGAAAATAACTCTGAAGGCAGACAAAATTTAGTAGTGTACATTTTTATTGACATGGGCTGGTATACGTTTTTATAAATCAGTTCAATACGTTAAGCAAAAAACATCATAAATAAAAATACCGGTCAAATAAGGTGAATATACAAAGACTATTTGATCCGGTAAGCAAGCGTTGCAAGCAGATATCGTGTTCTGATAATAAAACAAAATAATATCGAGCGTTTATTAGCGTTACCTATCAACTATAATTGAACCATCCAAACATAACACCTCGTCTTTATAGCCTCTACTGGTAGCTGACAGGAGAGCTGGCTTGTTTTTCGCCCAAATAATCGGCATTGCCATTCAGCGGAAGAATGCGCCTAGAATTCTTGCTACTGCCACACGGTTGACTTGTAGAGTAATAATGAAGTGTACATTTGTATTGTATATATAATTAAGTATATTTCTAATTTCCTTTATTGTAAATAAATATTTTTTACAAGCGATTATAAAAAAATAATCAAAAATTGGTCAGGTCAAAATTTAGAAGGATAAGAATTACGAACACCAGAATTTTATATATAAAGATTTGCGTTACACGATATCTTCAATCAAAAAATGATATTTCAGGTGAAGCAATGAACCAGTTCCTAAACAACAACGCAGCTGAGATTATTGACGAGATGAGACCAGCCGCTTCCGCTGCCATCGCAAAGCATTTCAAAACTTTCCTCAATGCAGCATTTGAGAGGATCCCCATTGATGTGTGGCTCACGCCTTAATTCTGTGATATAATGCTGAAGTTACTTTTAGTACAGTTGAGGTACGAACTATACAAATATATGATTAGAGTCCAGTTAATTTTAGAAGACTTAGAAATCGGTTACAAATAGTGAGCATTTTAAAATATACTTTAAAAGAATATTTTGATATATTAGTAATAGTTATATATTTCGAAAGACATGGTCCTTGGAAAGTTTTGAAATAGTATATATGTATATATACCAGTATAGCTTATACCAGTGATTAATTCTTGATGTACATATTGCAAAGAATTTTTAAAATGATAAGCCTCTTATGAATGTATTTGGTATATTCAGGACATTAAATAACTGAATATATTATTTAAAAATGCTTACATGTTCTGGTCGACAACAGTAAGCTTTATTATTTATTTAAAGTAAGATATTTTATAAACGTATTTGTATTGCGATATCGACTTATATTAGATTATAGGATGATTGTGATGTTTATAAATATTACTTAGAATATAACTAAATCAATAAATGATAAAGAAAATTGTGCTTTACATTTATTCCTATGATTGGATTGCTGTTTTTAATTTAGTTTAATTTACCGTTAATTATGTACATTTTGGTGTAACTATTATGTACTTAGTTTATGATAAAAGTATGTCGTCAGCGTCCAAAGTTCCAAATGCATGATCAGCTAATGGTTTTAAGAAGTCTCTTAATGCTTCTTCTAATGGTTCTTGGAATTCTTCAGATAGTTTTTCGAAATTTTCGTTCAAAAATTTGTTCATAGCATTTCCTGTAACATCAGCCATTTATTAGTCATTATTATGAAGACAAAAAATATGTGTTTTTTTTGTAAGTTTGTTCGTAATGGATAAACTACAAATCCGCTGAACCTATGAAACCTAAAATTAGTTTGACACCCTAAGACATAAGATATTTTTCGATTTAATCTCGGAAAACATTCCTTAGGGGAGTGAAAAGGGAGAAAGTTTATATGGGGAATAAATCATTTTTCAAATATACCTATACCTCTGTATATTATATATACTAATACGTAGTCCATATATTCCATACTAAACAACAAAATGAGCCAACGTACCAAGCGAGAGTGAGTCGGTGGCAAAAGATATAATTATTCGAAACGAACATTTTTTTTTTGAATTCTTTTTACTTTAAATTTGAAATTTATTTTGAGTATAGTATCTTACCTAGTTCTCCATCACCTCCAAAAAGATTTTCCAGCTTTGTTGATGCGTCTCCTATATGGAATTTTACACCTAAGTTTTTGCAAGTTAGAGCGTCAACAGCATTAGGTCTAGGTTTTCTACCTAAAACTATTGTCACAGTCGCATCTATATCACCTGTAAGAGAAATTTATTATTATTCCTTATCTATACTACTAAATGGACAGCCGATTCGTTTGTTCGGTTATACTAATAATAACTACTGAACCGATCGGAATAATACTCATACCATAAGATGCAGCGTGTTTCGGAGAAGGTTTTAGTATATGATATATGCGGGTGGAGCCGCAGGAAAACGCTAGTGCTTATTAATAAATTAAAGAATTATAATAAAATTGTTTAAATGAAAAGATTTTAGTCATTAACTCGTAAAGTTCATTTACCATATTTAGCCGTAAATTTTCCGTCTCCTTCTATTGGTAACATTAATAGTTGTCCTTTTAGGTTGTAGTTGCCTTTCATTCTTAATTCAGGAATATAAATTGTGGCAATAACTTTGTTTTTTGACGCATCTATCCTAGAAAAAAATACAAATTAATATTATTGGCCTGAAACGTATTTGAATTGCTCAAAAAGAATTGAATCGTTGATATCTTACTGTACATCCCTCACTCGCATAGTAGAAGGGCCTCGTACGGTTACATCATTGAAGGTTGAGGTGACAGATATAGGTCCAGATGACTGCCGTATTGCTAATGATGGGACGAATAGTGGTTCGCAAGAAGGCACTGCATATTCTGGCACTCCTAGAAATGTTACAAAAGTTACCTAATATGCAACATAAAACTTACATCATCTTGTTTTCAAGGTATCTAGCGCAAACAAAGGCGATATGCCAAGCAATGTTATTTGTTTCATGGATGGTAATTTTTGGATGCTTTTGTATATATATCCAGTGTATATGCATTACTAAGTAACTTTTAAAGTAATTTAAATGTGTAAATCTTTTAAGTATAAAAATAACGTGTAAATAAATAAAATAAATATTATATGAAGATAATTAATTAGTAAGAAACCAATTCTTTGACCCTCATAACTAATTTCATATATTATAAATTTGATTTAATACAACTAGTTGGCAGAGCGGAAGATCATATATAGTGCACAAGTGCATTTTTCTGTACACCCTAATAGTGTTACAACAATATTATAGAATCCTACTGGATGGCAATCCGACATGGCTTAGCAGAGAACAAACGCTGGACTGGACTGCATGATAGCTTTTCCTGACTTCGGATTTCTACAGAGAATTTTTTAACGTAAAAATCGAAAGGCTATATTGGCCTGACCAGAGAATTGAACTCACAACATTAGAATATAGATAATAGTGCATTCATGCAACTTCACAATAAAAATTGTTAATATATGTACTAAAAACTGCAATAGAAATTCACATTGAGAATTTAAATGCAAATGTAAGTAAGAGCTAAGTGTACCTGTTGCTAACTGCGGTATGTAGGCGTTTAGTGCATCTCGTAAACACCTCCCCAAGGCTTTTTCTTCTCGTGGACATATAAAACTGCCAACTGTAATAAGTTAATTTACTTTCCATAAAACTAATCAAAAATGTTTTAATTTAATTGATTTATCTATAAAGTCGTACTAACAGTTTATAAACTTCTTATCAACTCCGTAAACTATGTGAACAGTACTTAAAAATAAAAAAAGTTTCCACATTTTTAATATATTGGTTTTAAAAAGGATATTTAAATTACGATGTATCTGTGGTAATAAGATCGAAGTCATTAATCTACTCTTATTTAAGTATAAAATTTTCAATAAACGTGATGATAATATTAGTATTATCTATTATAGAGTTAAGTAATTAAGAATTATTTTTTTCTCTATATTTACGTCTTATCACACGTTTTCATTTCATTGTAATCTATAAAATCTTTGATTAAGTTTACTAAATCACCCAGAATAGTCTCAAAACTATCATGGTTTCTTCTTTTCTCAGTTTGAAATAAATAAAGGAAATTAATAAAAAAGCACGACATTGGTGCACAATTGTTAATGTTTTCCCAACCTACTTTGGCCACGGCGGCCAATGTCATTGAGACTAGCCATCTGCGCAGGAGACGATATTGTGCACGCTGACACAAGCGCACTTTCTAATCCTGTCACTCTTATACTCCGATGGGACGACTGCTCGACACGACTGGAACACTGACAGGACACTGGGGTGAAACATCGCCAACTTTCCAACTCCGGGCTGTTACTGAGGCTTACTAAACAGAAAGACTAAATAAATAAACTGTGCCTGACCTGGGCCTCGAACCCAGGACCTTCGGATGTGCAAAAGTACACGCTAGCCACTATACCACTAAGGCAATTGTTACGGCCATGATGACAGTGCAATTCTGTATGCACTTGTATAAAATACAGTATAATCAAAATAAAACCTTAATGTCGTGAAAATTAAGTCGAAAGTTAATTAAATCTGCAAGAGCCAGTCATCGAGGTGCAATGTTGTAATACAAATGACGTAAGAGATTTGTAGGCCTCGTCGCGACACGCTGGCACAGTTTGCGAAAGTAGTACAAGTATAATGGAGTTTATGTTTAATATTTGTTTAAGCGGCAACTTACGTCTTTAAATCATTTTAATATATTAAGGAAGAAATTCACGTTAATTATTAAAATATCCCTATAAAAATCAGTCAAGTGCGGGTCGAATTCGCATACGAAGGGTTCCATACCATCGTACATGTAGTTTTTATTAATATGACATTTACTTTATGTATGTAGTATATTAACTTCAAAAATTGATTAATGAATGTCAAAAAATGTTTCTTTTATATAAAAGAAACAATCGCTATATAGCGATATTAGAAATACATACTTTGTGAAAATTTCAAATCTCTACCTATTACGGTTCATGAGATACAGCCCTCTGATAAACGGACGGATGGACGGACGGACTGACAATAGAGACATAGTAAGAGGGTTCCGTTGGGACCCTTCGGGTACAGAAGCACAAAATCCTAACAAAAAGGAAATCCCTAAAAGACGTTTGTACTCACTAATCTTGTAAATTATTGAACGAATGTGTGGAATATTTGCTTGATCTGCATTTTTCCGGAATAGATGTAGTGTATTTTAAAAATACCATAGCACTTCTGAAAGCACTTTTTATTAGTTACTAACACTGCCCCGCGGCTCCGCCCGCGTTCATATGACCAAAAACCAAATTCTTAAGTTTTACATATTAGTATATTCTTCCATTGCAGTTTTTGTATTTTTTCTCTTAAACAAGATGATTTCGCGCGGTAAAAAGTATCCTATATGTTGACCCGGATAACCAACTACCATCAAACCAAATTTCATCAAAATCCCTCCAGTGGTTTTTCCGTGATACGGTAACAGACAGACAGACAATAATTCTAAAAACTATAGATTCGGCCTCTGTATCATAATAATGTCTATTACAATAAGATTTTCCAAAAAATATTTAATGTACATATTCGGCTTAGTTACAATTTTATTATATGTATTAGATTAATGTACGCCGATAAATCGATTGTATACATATAAGTAAAAACAATGTATGGCTAATACATATGTTTATTTTTAACCCTTCAATAATTCTACAAAAAGTTCGCAATACCGTATATTTAACTTTTATATTTTAGCAATCATAGTTGCTTTTATGCTTAACATAAAAGTATTATTTGGTTTGGTATTATTCATAAAAAGTTTGTATATTCTTTTTTTTAATTATTTATACCAAAACAGCATTCATGTCATTATGGACTTCTTGAAATATCTCACAAAAATGTTCATTTAGTTCTAAGTTATCTACGCATATATAATACTACGCACATATAATGTAAGCAATTACATACCGGAAAAATTAAAACGCAAAGTATAGCTTAAGCAACCATCAAAAATCAACAGTAATCATCTAATTTTATAAGAACTTACATAACTTTTATTTACATGTATATTGAGCCTATGTATTAGTTTGATAAAAATAGGGCAGAATAATAAAATACTTAAACAATATATTCATTTATTAGACAATTATTATTAACAATAAATTAAATAAATATCCAATAAATAATGGTAACAGAGACCTCTTCATCAAGAGAGTTAGAACAAAACGAGTTCAACTATTTATATGGCAGTTGACTAGATTTGAAACTTCTTACTGTTCCTAACTAGGGAATACCATATTAGTAGGAATATGTTTCAGGAATTTGTTGGCAATATCTTCAAGCACCATACCAAGGGCGGTTTCAACGGCCGGCTGGACTTCCTTCGCTAGTTCCGAGGCATGCATGTGTACAATGTGATCAGTTATCATTTCTGATGATAAAAAAAACAATTTAAAAGAACATAGGATGTTAAATTCTTCTCCATATTGTTTCTAACTATGTACTAGTGTTCCTTCCTCTAATACAATAAAAAAATCACAGGTTATAAGTATTTATTCAAACTGTTAAGTTATAAAGAATACTTTTTTTAAATTAGCTTTTTTTTAAATAATTTAAGAAAATAGTTTAGCAAAAAAGATGTTTTGAATAGTAGCATTTATGTTTTTTCTATCTCTTACCCATTTCCCCTGTAGTAGAATGAGCTTCCTTCAAACTAGCTCTGAGGGGTCCAGAGCAACGCAGTTTTACATTCGCATCTCGTATCACCATTCTTTTATGTACTTTAGCTCCAACAGCATCGAGTGCAGCAGTACATTCAGCTGAAAAATGTTGATGTATGAATGATGGAAGAAGAGTTACTTTGTTCTTTTACTTAAATATTTATATTTATATGAATATTTATGTATTCTATAGAATTTCGGTCACGCAATCTCTTTATTGTGATTATCTATGTGGGAAATATTAAGGTACTTTTATAAAGTTGTGGTTTCTATGTTGCCATTCTTATAGACTAATTATATAACAAGCCACTGATCGAAAGGAGGTCATACCCTGATCTCCCAAGAGACACTTTGGACCTAATTAACTTTAGCTATGTAAGCTAACCATAGACTATCGTCGCTATTTTACTCGAATAGAAATGTATTAGTGCTCAGCCCTTTTTAACGTCCCACTGCTGGGCACGTGCCTCCCTTTAATACGCTGGCCAAGTGCGAATTGGCGGACTTCACATGTCTTTCGAAAACACGCTAGGTTCTCTCAAACATGCAGGTTTCCTCACAATGTTTCCTTTTTGTAATCTTGTTAGAAATCATTCCTATATGAAAATATTATAGGTGCGAGACCCGGGATTTTAACCCGCTTCATTTGGTTCCCCAAGGTAGCATGCAGCCACTAGGCTACCACTGCTGAATGGGAATATATCTTCCAAATTTATTTATACATTTTTGAATTATTTAATTCTGATCTTTAATAACATTAAACTTATGATTATACATACTGAAATTAGCGGTAATCATTCCAGTAGATTCTACCGGAAGCATTTGAAATTCCCCAATTATAACGTATTCACCGGACATTGTCAGATGCGGTAAACTTATATTTCCAGTCACCTTTAAATCTTCTGGATACACACTGGAATATGATTTAGGTACATAAATTAGTCTATAAATAAGCTAAAATAGGATAGTACCTACTTTTATGTATGTCTGTATGTATGCATTACTTCATAATGGAGGCATATATATATACATACATATCGACGATATTGTCTAACAAAACGTAATACTACAAGTCGCAAAAAACAAGAATCAAACCTTCCCAAAATATCGGTATCGAATATATATCGATCGCTCTTATAAATTAAAAGAGATTATAAGTTTTAAAAATACACGACCTAGAATTACCTACTATATTCCTTCATTATATTTTCCTCAAAAAAGAAACTAAATTGTCAAGTATATTTTGAGTAAAGGCTATACATAAAAAAATATTTTAATATTAAAACAACATCACTAAACGTGATTAGGTACTCTCCAGTATGAACTAAATGGTAATGAATTTATTTAATCTTAATAGTGATGTATCTATGAATTTTATAATAAAAGCACAATAATATGTAAGGCAAAACTATTTGTTCCAAGATAACTTACTCAAGCTTGTTAAAAGTGTAGTTAGTAAGTCCGTTCAAAGTGAGATCAGTGAGCCAGGCATCATATTTAAAGTGTGCTTGAGGCATGTTGTGCTGTCTTAGCCTAATGCTGGGTACTTTCAAAGGCTCTAGAGGCTGGATATTGAAAGATGGTATCCCACGAGCGAGAAGAAGCTTTGCTTGTTCTGCTACACGCTTTATGCAATCCGCGACATTTGGATCACTGTAGTGACAAATTGGCTTTTTGGCTGAAAAAAAACGTATTATTCGATCAATAATGCTTTAATGTTTTGCATAATTTGTATAAATTAGATACTATAAATATTATAAATATAATGATGATGATGTTCTCCTGACCGATTCCGGCCACGGCGGCCAATTTCATTAAGACTAGTCAACTGCGCAGGAGATATTATAGTGCACAAGTGTACGCACAGACAAAAGTGCACTCTCTATTCCTGTAACTCTCATACTCCGGTGGGACCATTACTCGACACGACCGGTGAGAGTTAAGGGGCAGGACCGACGGCTTTACGTGCTCTCCGAGGCACGGGGGTTTAACACCGCCAACTTCCCAACTCCGGGCTGTTACTGAAGTTTATTATACAGAAATACTCAATAACTAAACTTGGCCCGACCCGGGACTCGAACCCAGGACCTCCGGGTGTGCAGTCGTACATGCTAGCCGCTACACCACCGAGGCAGTTAATAAAAATACAATAGTGCATTTGTGAGTCGATTGATGGGTTTTTTGTACGTAAATTGTTGGTGGGCTAATATCATCATCGGCTTCTTTTTATTCAGGTGGGTACGTAAAATAGGAAACTCCTGCCCCCTGGGATAGTGAATTAAAGCTTATGTGAAGTGAGAACAGATCAGAAGTAATAAAAAAAAATGTTAGTATGTTATCATCTTTTATTTTGTTATGGATTATAATTTATAGATACTCTGAGCTTCTCCATAATATTTTGCATCTTTCATATTATGTATATATTATCTATTTATTACATAATTTCTTGATATTTAATAGTTTGACATGTATTTTAGCAAACTAAAGTGAATAAAGTATTTAAAACAATACTTAAATAATAATTTAAATAGTCAATAAGTACTTAAATATGTTTGGTGTGAAATTGTTTATTTAAACGTTTCAGTAACATTAAACAAGACATTTACTTATAAGACGCTTTTAGTAAAGAAAGGAAACCTATTTAACTTCTTACATTTGCTCATTCTTACGCAATAATTTAAGTTGTTACAAGACAAAAGTTGAAATAATAAAATATGTACCTACTAGCATTGCCCGCGGCTCCGCCCGCGTTCAGATGACATTGCAGTTTTTGTATTTTTTTTAGAAATTAGACATTTAGCCGCGGTAAAAAGTATCCTATATGTTGCCCCGAATAACCAGCTATCACCATACCAAATTTCATCAAAATCCCTCTAGTGGTATTTCAGTGATGCGGTAACAGACAGACAGACAGACAGACAGACAGACAGACAGACAGATAGACAGACAGAAAGACAGACAGACAGACAGACAGACAGACAGACAGACAGACAGACAAAAATTCTAAAAACTATAGATTTGGACTCTATATCGATAATAATGTATATTTCAATTAGATTTCCCAAAAAATATTTAATGTGCAGATTCGACTTAGTTACAATTTTATTATATGTATAGGCAGCATTGCTTGCGGCTCCACCCGCGTTCAGATGACCAAAAACCAAATTCTTAGGTTTTACATATGTATTAGTAAGCACTTACTTTGCAGTTTTGATATTTTTTCTCAGAAATGAAATATTTTCTCGCGGTAAAAAGTATCCTATATGTTGACCCGAATAACTAGCTGTTGTATTTATTGGTTAATAAATTATAAGTCTAGTCTCTTAAATCACTTTTATTATAATTCTTAAGATGTGAGCAATACAAAACAATTTTATAATTTTTTATCTTCCATAGAACCTCCATCTTTTTTCATAGACCTCTAACAGTGTTACCACATCTCCCTCCTTTTACTTTAGTTCAAGATTAACAATTATAAAAAAAACTAAACAAATTCTTTAAATAGACATACATACAATTAAAAAAAACTCCTAAATACTAGTTTAACTATTAAAAATCATTCTTCCACTAATCTCCTAGGTTTAATAATTCTTCTTCCGTATCTAGACATAGCTTGAGGTAGAGCTGGGTTATAAGTTTCAGAGGTGATCTCAGAACTCTCTTGTGGAAGTTGAGCTGGAGCCAGTTGAGTCTCAGTATTCGATTCATTACTTTCAGTAGTGTTGTTTTCTAAAGTGGGATAACTATTTTGATCTCCATTAATAGCAAAAGGATTTCCCGATTTCCGTAGATGAACTGAATTTCTAACTAATGTTTGACCATCCTCAGTTCTTATTATGTAGGATCTAGGCGTATTGTTAGATTTAATAATCTGGGCTGGCTCCCATCTCCTTCCTCTTCTATGGACCACACTTTCACCCTCATTGAAACCTCTTCTCTGCTGTGAAGTTTTATCATAGTATAACTTAGACTTTTTCTGTTTAAGCTCTTTATCCTCCTTCACCCTAACAACATTTGGCATCAGATTTTCATCAATAGTTGGGAGGACTGTTCTTAGCTGTCTGCTCATCATTAGTTGGGCTGGGCTCTCTGACAATCCTGTAACTGGACAGTTTCTATACTCCATTAATCCTAAATTGAAATCTTGTCCAGATTTGTAACATTTTCTCATCAGGTTCTTGCAAATACCAACTGCTTTCTCCACCATTCCATTTGATTGTGGATAATGTGGGCTGGTGTTAGTTAATTTTATTTCCCATCCTTGACAAAATTTCTTGAACTCAAAGGATGAGAAAGGCATATTATCAGCCACAATTTCATTAGGTATACCATGTGTGGCAAATATTGGTTTAATACTCTTGATTGTTTCTGATGCTGTCTTATATGGCATCTTTACAACATCAAACCAAGCTGATAAATAATCCACAATTATTAGGTAAGAATAGTTTCCTAGTTGGAAGAAATCCATACCAACCCGTTGATAAGGTCTTGATGGAACTGGGTAAGGCAATAAAGGTTCCTTTATATTTTTATTCCTAAAAGTTTCACATATTTTACATTTTAATACATATTCTTCAATGTCTGAGTTTATTTGCGGCCAGTAAAATATTTGTCTTGCCCTTGCTTGTGTTTTGCTGACTCCTAAATGCGGACTATGAAGCTTCTCTAACATTTCTTTTCTCAAGGAAATAGGCACCAACAGCTTTCGGCCAACAAATACTAAGTTTCCACTAACATAAATTTCATCTTTAAATTTGTAATATATTTTTATTTCTTCAGGCACATCTTTACTATTGGCAGGCCAACCCTTCATATAGTACTGCACTAGGCGTTGTAATGTCTTATCCTTGGCAGTTTCTTCTTCGAGAATCTTTTTTCTTCTAGGTGTGACCTGCAATTGATAATTATTAGATGCTACTTCATGAACTATCTCACTAATCCAATCTTCTTCAGAACTGATGTTCTCTTCATTTTCACAACCTCTTGACAATAAATCAGCAATATATAATTCCTTGCCAGGCACATATCTCAATTCTAAGTCATATTTAATTAATTTAAGAATCATCCGCTGCAATCTTGGTGATGGTATTTCTCCAACATTCTTTTTAATTAGAGACACAAGAGGTTTGTGGTCTGTTCTGACAAAAGTTTTACGCCCATAGATGTATAAATGAAACTTAGATGTTGCAAAAAGAAGACTTAATAACTCCTTTTCAATTTGTGCAAAATTCTTTTCTGTTGGTGACAACGCCCTTGACGCATAGGATATAGGTTGTCCCTCCTGCATTAAACAGCAACCAATAGCGTCCTTAGATGCATCACATTCAATAGTAATTTCCTTAGATGTATCAAAATGTGTTAATACTGGAATTTTTGTAATTAACCCTTTTATATTTTTCAGAAGCATTGAATGAGCTTCTGTCCAAATAAATTCTACATTACATTTCAAAAGGGTACGCAAATTAGAAGTTAAGTCAGCAAAATTTGGAATAAAATTTCTTATGTAATTAAGCATGCCCAAAATTCTTTGTAATTCCTTCTTATTACAAGGGTTCTCTAAACTTTTAATAGCTTTTATTCTCTGAGGGTCAATTTTCATCCCATTTTTATCAAACTCAAATCCCAAAAATGTAACTTTATTAGTTTTATATTGAAATTTACTAGGATTAAATTTTAAATTACTTGACCTAGCCCTTTCTAAAACTTTATTTAGCACTTCATCATGTTCTTTTTCTGTCTCAGTTGCAATTAAAATGTCATCAAAATATATTATAAGTCCAGGAATATCTGAAAATATGGAAGTGTTTACTCTTTGGAACTCCTCAGGGGCGTTGGATAGGCCAAATGGGAGTCTGAGGAACTTATAGCACCCAAAAGGTGTTGAAAAGGCACAGTAGTTAGATGATTCTTTGTCCAGTTTAATATTATAGAAACCCTCCTTAAGATCAAGTAAAGAAAACCAAAATTTACCTGTTAACTGAGAAGTTACTTCTTGCAAGGTAGGTATTAACGCAGGTGTTTTAATGATGGCTTTGTTTAGATCAGTTGGGTCCAAACATACTCGAAGACCTCCATCCGATTTTTCAATTACTACAAGATTACTGAGCCATGTCACGGGACCATCCACTTTTTCAATAATTTTTCCTCTCTCCAAAAGGTTCAATTTTTCTTTTAACCTGTCTCTAATAGCTAAAGGTACTCTTCTAGGAGGTCTGATGACTGGTTCTACAGATTTATCCACTTTAATGTGACACTCATAATTTTTAATCAGTCCAGTTCCATTAAATATGTCTTCATTTCTCTTCAAAATTTCCATTTTCTTTTGATTATCTACTGTAAGATCATTTATTCTTTTAATTAAATTTAATTTAACACAGCCGTCCAAACCCAGTAAGGGTTTAATTTTATTATTATTTGCATCATCCACTACCACAAAACTAAGTTGGCAATTCCTAGCATTATTGGCACTACACTTCAATTTAATAACTCCTGAAGATTTTAACCGATTACCTCCAAATACCTCCAAAATTATTTGTCTATTATTACATATATTGTCAGCATTTACTCCCAATTTGAACAGACAGCTTATTGGCATTACATTAATCTCAGCTCCTGTATCAAGCTTGAACTCCAATTCCTTGTTATTAATAATTAATTTTTGTGACCACTGTAAAAGATTAATTTTACATATTTTTCTTGAGCTCTCAACTAATTCACACGAGTCTATAAGGGAATCTGCATAATCCTGTTCACTTTCATACTTATTTTGTTTTACTAAACTTATATTTTTCTTGTTTTTAAAACATGCAAGTGCAAAATGATTTGGCTTATTGCATAAATTGCAATACTTTCCATATGCTGGACAATTATTGGCTCTGTGTTTATTTCCACACTTCCGACACTGATAGTCTACTGCATTATTAGTGCTATTCACACCACTGTGATTCCCATATTTAAGGCTAAAATGATTATTAAGTTTCCTGCCCTCATCATTAGCTGTGTTAAAATTAGATTTATTATTACCTCTTCTTAATCCATGTACTTCTACAGATTTCTCTTGTATTAATCTCACTTGTTCCTTTGTAGTTTCGGATGCTTTTACAAATTCAACTACTTTAAGTAAACCTAGCTCACTTTCTCTCAATATTCTTTCCTGTAGCCCTTGATCTGTTAAGTGTAACACAATTTGATCTCTAATTAACGATTCTAACTGATCACCAAATTCACAGTTTGCTCCAATAGTGCGAAGCCCTGTCACATAATTATCAATAGTCTGACCATCAATTCTCAATGTTTTAAAAAATTTATGCCGCTCAAATAACACATTCTTTTTTTCTTTACAGTAATTCTCAAATTTTTTAATTACAGCATCATACGTCGACGTTTCAGTAGATAGTCCAAACGTATTATATATAGCCAAACCTTCATCACCAATCAAGTTGAGTAAAATTGCTATTTTAACTTTATCTTCTTTTTTTTCCTTTTCAGTTGCTAAAAGATAATATTCCAATTTCTGCCTCCAATTCCTCCAATTTTCTGCAATACTACCCGAGAACGATAACTCAGCAGGTGGTTTAAACTCCATTGGAACTTATTTTCGCTATCACAACAGCTGTTTATTCACTCTATTAAATAACTAGGTTTACACCTGACACCATGTTGTATTTATTGGTTAATAAATTATAAGTCTAGTCTCTTAAATCACTTTTATTATAATTCTTAAGATGTGAGCAATACAAAACAATTTTATAATTTTTTATCTTCCATAGAACCTCCATCTTTTTTCATAGACCTCTAACAGTGTTACCACACTAGCTATTACCATACCAAATCTAATCAAAAACCCTCCAGTGGGTTTTCCATGATGCGGTAACAGACAGACAGACAGACAAAAATTCTAAAAACTATTGACTCGGCCTCTGTATCGAAAATAATGTCTATTTTAATAAGATTTTCCAAAAAATATTGAATGTACAGATTCGGCTTAGTTAGAATTTTATTATATGTATAGATAGATCACATCACTTACCCATTTCTTCCATAGCTTCGCCTTTAATTGTACTATTTACTTCAGGAACCCGCCTACAAAACACATCATTAGCAAAAATAAAGATCAACAAAAACTTAGCGAGTGTCTTCATCATGACTATGTCCACTTTGATACAATTTTCATATAAGACTGTCAATGTGTATTTTGCCTTTATAATAGAGCTAACAGGTTAAAATTACCACCATATGTGGAAAATATGCAGCCTCGAATCTAAGGTCTACAGGACATATAATAAAGTAACATTGGAAGCACTACTTTTTGTAATAAATGACATCTCGTTAGAAAAAAGCCGTTTATTTATATTGTCACTATATTAAACAAATATAATTATTACGTTTATTGGAATATTAAAAACGAAGAACATGACATTTATTAAAATCATAAGATTTCATCCTATATATGTATAGCCTTCCATTCTGACTATCTATATAACTCGTTCGACATATTACGAAATTTTAAAACTAATTTTGAAAAGTGGCTTCAATTTAGCATGTCAAAATACACTTCTACATTAAACTTACTGTAAATAGTGACCCTCACAATAATGCAATATGCATTCATAGGTCAATTCTACCGAAATAAAAGAAACAGAAATCTATTTTTAAGAAAAATCATAATCAAGAGATCTTTTTTTTTTAACGTTGGGAAATGCATTTACGCACGAGGTGTGGGACTCACTAGCAAAGCCAGTACTACCCACTAAAACCCAACAAAACCTTCCCCCGTCTTAATGGGGCGTCGCAGGATCGCTTACGCATTCAACTACGACGCCCCGACGGCAGGTCTGCCGAAGCAGACCACAACAACCACGGGGTTGCTCCACAGTCCACTCTGCTATCAGAGAAGTACCAGGAGCAACCCGCATGGTACACCGCCCTCCGAAGAGGGCCACCTCCCACCGCCCACCGAAGTGGGCCACCTCCCTGTGCGTTTCTTGGCTTCGCGCCTGGTTGGGTTGCCGGGCACTACTGAGCCCCCCCACCACGACAAGGTGAACGCACGTTGGGGGGGATAATCAAGAGATCTAGATTAGATGGATCAGCCTACTAAAACTCTACTTTTCGGACCTAATAACTCCACCGTTTGCTAGGCGACCAATGCCATTACCAGCGACCACTGCCACTACCAGCGACCGCTGCCACTACCAGCGACCGCTGCGACGACACCGACCAGGAACCATTTACATTTTATTGTAATGTTCACAATACGACCACGACTATTATATACAGCTGGTCTTTGTAACCCTAACCTTGGTCACGTTTGTGTTATCTTTAAATCCTTTAAACAGTTTACAGAAAACTTTCCTTACATTCATAATTTAATCATGTCGACACATCACAAACATTTTGAAATTTATAATATAAAAATTAAAAAGTTTAATAAAAACATAGTATACTTGAGTTAGTTTGAAAATGAGGAGGTGCTAAATTCTGTTGTTTATTTTTTTGTGTCATTATATCATCACACAATATATCTGCCTCTTCGGCACCAGTTTGATATTATTTTTTATGAATTGGTCCGATGTATGGAATTTAATAATTATGAATGCTAGTGTTCGCCCAGTGGATGATATTTGATATAAGTACTCAATATATTGAAAATTTTAGAATAACATACTCTCATATAAATGGAATTTATCTTTGTACATAAAAATAAGTATCTGTTTATATTTTTTGTTGAATTGATAACTCTAAAGCTCGTCAATAGATACTAAACAAAAAAAAAGAAAATTGGTTAACAAACAGAAGGGAAAAAGGTGGTAAACTGTCTTGTCGATGTTTATTTATATATATTACTAGCATTGCCCGCGGCTCCGCCCGCGTTCATATGACCAAAAACCAAATTCTTAAGTTTTACATATTAGTATACTCTTACATTGCAGTTTTTGTATTTTTTCTCAGAAATTAGATATTTTCCCGCGGTAAAAAGTATCCTATATGTTGACCCGGATAACCAGCTATCATCACACCAAATTTCATCAAAATCCCTCCTGTGGTTTTTCTGTGATGCGGTAACAGACAGACAAAAATTCTAAAACTATAGATTCGGCCTCTGCATCGATAACAATGTATATTTCAATAAGATTTTCCAAAAAATATTTAATGTACAAATTCAACTTAGTTAAAATTTTATTATATGTATAGATGTAGATAGGACACTGCACAGTAATAGAATTATATAAGTAAAAGTTACTTGCTCGCGATTTATACACATTATACATGCACCTTTTGATTTTAAGTCGAGGGTAATAAATGCAGGAAGTTACATGACAAGGTAACACAAGCCCTGTACATGCATAATTTATGGATATGTAACACTGATTCATTGAGATGTTAGTTAGATATGTTTAATATGGAACAAATACGAGTTATTAAAAAAACTGCCCAGCATATTTAAAATTTTATTCTAATTAAAAAAATAATAAAATAATAATAATATTATGTTAAAACGAAAATATACATGTACAATAATCTGAAAATAATATAGACACAATACCTAGTCTTTAAAATAACTGAAATAAATCAACGTGTTACAAATCACAATTTTGAACATAATATAGGTAAGATCAAGAATATATGGATGAGAAGATATAGGAGGTTGTCATAAAAGTTATTATTATCAACGAATTATTTCGTTTAAATTATTAAGTTTAACAATGAATCCAAATAATTTTAACATTATTTTAATATTATCACAAATTGTGCTTATTATGCGTAAAAATATACTTATGATGAAAAATGTTATAGTAATTCTAATATATAATAATTCAAATAATTTACGTAATCAATCATTTGGTTTACACCTTCTAAATAAACCTTAACATTTAATTATTTACAAATGAGGCATAAAAACTATGATGAGTTTGTAATTTACTTTCTGTTTGTAATTTTGGCGACTTTAATAATTATAATCCACATTTTTATGAGATTTTATAATATTTTTTTATTTAATTCTTAGTTTTGTGGGTTACTAGATTTAAAAAAATATATAGTGCTATGTTAATGACATATATAATTGTATGGGTTTCAATTTATTTTCAAATGATGGCGAAACTGGCTGGCACGAAAATTTTAGAATGATTTGCCTAATAATAAGTTTTAACAATAAACTTCAATTCAAATTAATTTTCTTGTTAATTGCATCAAAGCTTGCCAGTTGGGTGCACAGGTTACTTCGCTAATATCAAATAGAAACAATAAACTTAACAATTAAAAAAATACTTCTATCAATACAAATTTACATTTACCCAACATTTATATATATAATAATTTTAAATCAAATTAATGCACTTGTTATCCAAATGGTCAAGTTTTCATAAAGAGAAATAAATTATTTCATTATAACTTGATAATTAGGATAACTGATGCGAAATTCTGTTTTAAAGACAGCAAACCAAATTAATCATCTAGATTTTACGCATTAATATTCATTCATACTTTACCAAATAAAACGAGAGAGATCTATACACTACAATTACGAATATACTTAAATGGCAGATGAACATAGAGTAACATCCTAAGAATCTTGAACTAAAATTTCGCTGAGAGGTATGGAGGAAAATATTTTATTGAAGAAAGCCTTAAATATAGCAGCACTGCTGTCTTCAATGAGCGGGTTGAGGATGTCCAGGATGACTGATGGACTAGCATTAAAGAAGGCCGCAGCGGATGTAGCTGAAAAAATGTTTCGTACATAACTATACTTCGTACGTTACTATATTTCGTACGTAATATATATATATATATATATATATATATATATATATATATATATATATATAATGAAAGCAAGTAATTTTGAAATAGTTTAATGTAAAATATTTAAATTATAATTATTTTAATTGTTACATTTTTATATTTATTTACTTTGTAATTTATTTGATAGAGATCACTGAAAAATCAACCTTACAATATATCTATAAATATAGATAATATAAAAATTACGGCATGTCATTAGGGTTCCGTTGTTTAATACAAACTTGCATAAAAAGAAACAGTTGCATAAACACAGATATATGTTTTAAATTATATATTTTTTTTATCTTTAATGTTTGTTATTAAATATTTATTACCTGCCACTGGTCTCTCAGTGTCGTCGATTACAACTTGCCCGTGACCTATTTTCAGTTTTGTGATCAACTTTTCAGCTTGTAAGTACTCTACGCCGTCCTTTAGAATTGGTTTAGCGCTTCCCTTGGCTACTACAGTAATTCCGGCTGTACAGGAAAATTATAATTTTATTATTAAAAATACAATATTTACTTATTTAATTTATTTATTTTCAAAAAATAATATTTAATGAATAACATAGTTGGCGTCAACTTTACATACATACGGCTAAGCGCTTCCTACTCTTTGCGCTCTATCTCAACAACTATTGATAGTGTGAAACATTTTTATGGGTGTAACTTTTGTGATTTCAGATGTCATTAACAAAAGAAACAATTTAAAAAAAATAAACTACCTTCTCCTCTAACTACTTATGACAATTATAGTATGACATTATTGAGCTTAAATAAATTAATATTAAAAAAAAACATTTTTGAAAACAAGCTTTTATATCATATAAATTGTGTTATGTATTAAATGGCTTAAGCTTCATTTTTTATTTGTTAGGAATTTATTCGTATTTCTCTCAGCAAACCCTTTTATTTGATATCCATATCACAGGACTGCATAAAAAAACATAGTCCGCCATCGTTACAAGGTCATGTTGGATTTAGAATGACTCGCTTATCATCTCAACTAAAAGTGTATGCATAATTTCAGCTCAATCGGTTTAGGATAACTGTTTAAAAATTCAGTTGCAAGACACGAACAAAGATACAAAAATTGCAAGTAAAATATAAGCTTGTAATATAAAATATCATCACAAAGGTAATTATAGCTTATTGCCTTTCATTCCCATGTTTACTTTCTTTTTTAACCTCACTGTATTATATTTATAATACAGTTATACACTAATTTAGTCATTATCGTTAAGTAGTTTTTGTTATCTATACTAATATTATAAAGAGGTAAAGTTTGTGAGTTTGTGAGGTTGTAGGGGGTAATCTCTGGATCTACCGGGCCGATTTAGATGAAATTTAGTAAAAAGATAATTTGAGACCCTTGGAAGGACATAGAATACTTTTTATCCCGGAAATCATCCCTTAAGGGGGTGAAAATGGGGATGCAAGTTTGTATTGGGAAGCAAGCTATGGTGAGTCACTAGTACCTAATTTATTAAATGTGACACCATTATAGTGCATATAAGCAGCGAAAGATTTTAAAATCAGTGTACCTTTTGTTTATAAAACAATCATTTTTCTTTGATTTTCCTTTGAATATACATACATATATTTAAAAAGTGTTTATATGAAATAAGTACTTACTAAAGTTGCTGCTGAATTTTCCCTTGCCGCTGATATCAAGGGTAAGAATCTTAGAACCGCGCACGTCATAGTCCGCTGTGACAAGCAACCGAGGGATGGTTAGCTTCACTTCTCCGGTGTACTTGTTGTTAACGTTTAACCTTTAAACACAAAAAGAAAAAAAATACTTCAATAATTAATCTAAATTATTATTTCTTTATTTATAGGATTTATTTTTTTAATGAATAAAGATGAATATTAAGTATACTTTATGTTGACCCGGTTGACCAGCTATCATCATAGCAGATTTCATCAAAATCTGTTCAGTGGTTTCTCGTGATGCGTTCCCAGCAAGACGGACAAAAAATCTAAAAATATGTATAAATTCGGCCTCTGCATCGATAATACTGACTATTTAAATATATTTTCCAAGAAATATTTATTATACAGATTCGACTCATTTAGAATTTTATTATATGTATAGATAAGTTTTATTTCTTTGCTCTTTTTTATGGCTGTTTTTTTAAATACTCTACGTGATTGATGATTGTTTATAATGTGATATAAGCTTTAGACTCCCTTTAATTCAACCCTGTTGCAAAATCTTCTGCCTATTAACTACCTAACTGACGCTTCACAGGTCAAGTATTTTCAACATTTCGTGTTTAAGATCTTATTACCGCTTAAAAAAGTGGTAAAAAGGTTACTTATTTTATGTATAAATATGAAAGTACTTTTAAACTTAATTGAATGTACATTTTAAGCTACCATTAATAAAGAGGGCAAGGTAACTTCTTATAATTTAGCAGTTCGAACTACACAGTGTGTACTTTGCTTATAATATCGTATGTAGTGTATTAAAAAAAATAGGGCTCAAGGCTAGACAAAAATACAGTTTAGTACAACAGGATATCCTAACAAAATCAATTTTTATTCATTGCGTTCCTATATAATATACTTCTAGTTATACCATTTATAATATTAATTAGTACATTTTCAAAAATATAATCAGAAATTTTCCATATACACACACTTAAACAAAAAAATTATGCATTATTTCTACGATTTTCAATCTAAAACTTGATATAAAAGTTATGAAGACCACGATTTCCCCTCTCCAATTGAGTGGATCTGCTCTGCAGCTCACAACCGTCACTATGTACGCAAACTAGTATCTATAGATAAATAGGCAAAGACAAAACAGTTCGATACCTTTTCTCCTCTGTTTGTCAATTGATTTTTTTTTCTTTTTAGTAGCTATTGACAGGTTTTAGTGTTATCTCTAAAAAACTTAGAAAATGTTTTTTTTGTATAGATAGATTAATGCTAAATTATATTCATATATGTTTCATGTAATTTCAACCACTAGTATAATAAATTGCGCATATGATTACTTAAATTACCTAAGCTACATTTTAAGACAGGCTAAACTGCACCCTAACCTTAATCAATGAGCACAGAATTCACTTAGCCTACATTCTTATAACAAGTTTTGACTGTTTCGAAGAAAATCTAGACGTAGTAGAATATAAAGCAATTGCGTGCGTACGATTTTTTTACTTATTTAAATTTTAGGAGTCGAATTATCATTAGTTTTTGGTCTTGTTAGATTTTTTTAAAAAAAACATTTAGCTATGTGGAATAATGTGCAAAATTTTGTCATTGGCATTAAACAGACATTACACGCAATTAATTAGTCAATTTTTTTATTAAATTTTGAATCTATCGAGACTATTATTGACATCCGTACTATACTAATATTATAAATGTGAAAGTGTGTTTGTTTGTTTGTTTGTTTCTCTTTCCTTCACGTCGAAACGGAGTGACAGGTTGACGTTATTTTTTTGTGTGGAGATAGTTGGAGGGCTCGAGAGTGACTTTCCCACAGGAAAACACGTTATAACACAACCCAAAAATTATTTATGATCAAAATTACGTGAAACTTGGTATTAATATTCTTCAATACAATTAAATAAATATGTGTTTTGGCATTTTTCGATATTCATGCCATAAAGGGGTAAAATAGCAGATGAAAGTTTGTATGAAACATACTTTTTTAGAGTTTTTCTGTAGCGTTAGCGCGAGCGAAGCCGCGGGTTCTGCTAGTAAAAATAAATTTCATCAATTTTTTTTATGTCAAATGAATTCGGTCTTACTAACCTAACTTATAACAATTTACCTCACGTAATGTAAACATAACTAGTGCAATACTTAACAAGATACAATCGCATTCAAAATGTATTAGAGCGCAACATTGGTAAGGTAATTAAGAAATCTAAAAGGAAATATTATGAGCATTACACTTAATATAATAAGTATATAACAAAACGAATAAATTGAATTATATAATATTTATATTTTATATATTATATAAGGTTAGTAATAGAATAAATGTTATTTAGAATGTGGCGAAATTATTAAACAGAAAAACAAAAAAGATTGTAATCTAAATCAATAGCAAAAAAAAATTGAAAAACATAATAACATTATGTTTTATTCGCTATCGATGGATATATGGTGTTAAGTAATTTCCGCAATCTAACCGATTATAGTAAAAATGCTATTCCGCATTGCATGTGATGCATGTCTTTGCATGTAACACAAATAAGTCTATTTTCATCTGCAGTATATTCGTATAAGCTACACCTATGCCAGATATTTTTAAAAGACTAGCTTTTCCACACAACTTCACTCGTATAATTCTCTATTTCATCATCTTCTTTAATAAACAGGCTATAAAATATATTTTTTTCAAATCATCCTGATAGTTCCAATCAGCGCGTTCAAATAAATAAAAAATAAACTCTTTCACTTTATATACAAGTATAGATTTACTTGTATATACCGTATTTGCCATGACATCGAATTTTACTTGGCCTTCCTACTTCAAAAATACTTCCATAACAATAGAATAGGCAGTGGTAGCCCAGTGGCAACGCGCTCACTTGGGAAACCGAGTGAAGCGGGTTCAAATCCCGGGTCTCGCACCTCTGATATTTTCATGTGCGAATCATTTCCAACATGATTACCATTTGTCTTAACGGTGAAGAAAAATCATCGTGAGGAAACCTGCATGTCTGAGAGAACCTAGCAAGTTTTCGAAAGACATGTGAAGTCCATCAACCCGCACTTGACCAGCGTGGTGGACTATGGCTGATCCCTCTGGTATTGAAGGGAGGCCCGTGCCCAGCAATGCGACGTTAAAAAAAGGGCTGAATACAACAATAGAAGTATAAGTTGTAGCACAAGAACATCTATGTATACTACTATTATAAAGAGGTTAAGTTTGTGAGTTTGTGACGTTGTAGGGGGTAATCTCTGGATCTACTGAACCGATTAAGATGACATCCCAAATGAAAGGAATCCCGGCAACGAACCCGAGCGAAGCGAGGGTGAGTTGCTAGTTTCTATATAAGTTTCATATAGAATCTTTAAACTACTAATAGATATACTTACTTTATCTTTTCAATCTTAAAGCTCGAGGCACCATAAGCTTTCATATTTTTGATAGTAGCTTTTAGTCTTAAATTGTTGGCTGTTCTGTCTAATTTTAATGTTGGCACTAAGAATGGGTCTAGTGCTGGTACGTTGACTTCAGGAATGCCGTTAAGTAATCTAGGTTTCACAACATCGACTGCTTTAACGACACATTTGTCAAGCTCGGGGTCACTCCGCTTACACTGTGGGAAGTCGTCCGCTGAAATTTATAAATAGCGTTAAATTAATATCATAGCATTACTATGATAATGTAGAATAAGGTTTATTACAGATTTTCATTACTTGCATTATTTACTTTCGCTATTTGAGTTTAGTACATGTAATGTAAAAACCGTCAATTTTACTCCTGAAAGTTGAGGAAAAATAAATATAATAATAATAATTTTCTAAAACAAAGTAGGAAATTAAAAACTAAACATCAACAAGTGCATTGTTTACATGATAAATTGAAATATATATATATATATATATATATATATATATATATATATATATATATATATATATATATATATATATATATCAAATTAACGTCGGAATATCGGTCTGTTACTATATTTAGAAAAGTTAAAACATATTGAGGTTGAGAAATAATGGCTATACGCAACGATACATCTTGATATAATAAAATTTATTTTTCAAGATGGTTCTTGAGGGTTTTGTAACTAAAATATTCAAACATTATTTTTATTTCGGTAGAATGATGTCAACTGTTACTGAATATAAAATTAATTAAGAGGTGTTTATTTAAATAAAACTTCTTATTTAAATGATATTGCAAAAGACTGATTGGTATCTTTTTTCGTTTCAACATGCAGTGACATTTATTTATGTAGGCGTACAATATGACATTCATATTGGTAATATTTTGTAATAATTAACTGGCCTTAGGTACGTATGTTATATTACGAATAAAACTATTTTTTCGGAATTTTTGGCGGTTTTGTATTGATTTTTTTTCCTAACGTTTTACTATACTAAAACCAAAAAGGTTTTATATAATATACATGTTTTTAAATTGTAAGGATCTTAATAGCAGAAACCTTAATGCAATTCAAATTGTATAACTATAGCAAGCCTGATTGGAATTATTTTTGTTGTATAGTACTTCTGTGCTATTTCTCTTTTTCTCAAAATTATTATGTAATTTGTGGGAAAACATCGTCTGTAATAATCATGACTTTTGATACGTCAGAAGCGTTAGGTTCTCTCGTGACCATGTTCGATATAAGGCATTCGAAACATCGAGAACAAAAAACTTAAATAAAACCACGAACAAATCTAAAAAAAAAAGGTTTTATTCAAAACTATCGACTAACCCTCACTTCGCTCGGGTTTCAAAAAAGAAGGAGGCTCTAAATTCATCGGAATCTTTTTTTTATTCTTTTTTTATGTAGGTATGCATGTTCACTGATTATTCAAAGACGCCTAAACCGATTTGGAAAATACTTTTTTTTGTTGCAAAGGCTATAACTAAACGGAGGTTTCCATTTGGAATAGATACCTAATCAGATATTTTCGAAGACAGTGCCAGCCGATACAAATCAAAGCACACCGACTTCGAAAATATCTGATTAGGTATCTATTGTAAATGAAAACCCCCGTTTATTTATTTTTTACTTTTTTGTGCTTCGAAGTCGCTTTTTTTAAGTATTTTATATACACAAAAAAATGTCAATGTACGTGCCTTAGGAGATAGTCACATGCTATCGCGGACTTTTCTGTAGTCCTTTTTAAGACCTACAATTTTCTAGTACATTATTTTGATGTACACATCTTTAAAGGTACCTAGAGCTAGAGCTAGCCAGCACGGCGTTAGCCATGTCATCGTATGAAAACAATTTTTTGACTAAACACTGTCTAGGCTTACGTCATTTTGTACAAAATATTTACAAATTATAAACACGAACCATTCTCGTATATCGCTCTTTCTAATAGTAAAAACCGTATCAAAATCCGTTGAGTGATTTAGAAGAAGTAACCGGAGAAACAGACAGACGCAAACAGCTACTTTGTTTTGTACTATGTATGTTTATGTATTGACGTCAATTATTCCCGTAAATATGAAAAAATATTTTATTATATTTATTTATAGTTTAGAAAGTACTTTTTCTCTGTCTTTTCTAATAAGCCTATTTTTTCCTTACAGATCATGAGGTTCACTTATTGACCTACAAAATTAAGTTTCTAATTCAAACAATTATTTAATCTTATTCAAGGACTAATATTCAAGTTTGCAGTGTTAAGTGCATTTATCACGTAAAGTGCGTGCGTAGATAACTTATGGTACTTTATAGTACCAATTATATATTTATATATATAATTACTAGCAGAACCCGCGGCTTCGCTCGCGATAAAACTTAAAAAAGAACTAAAAAGATAGGTTTCATACAAACTTTCTTCCCCTATTATAACCCCTCATGGGATGAATTTCGAAAAATGCTAAAACATGTATTTATTTAATTGTTTTGAAGAGCATTAATACCAAGTTTCAAGTAATTCTGATCATAAATATTTTTAGGTTCTATTGTAACGTGTTTTCCCGTGGAAATGAGATAATCTCCCGCGGTAAAAAGTAGCTTCCAACTGACTCCACACAAAAAATAACGTCAACCTGTCACTCCGTTTCGACGTGAAGGAAAGACAAACAAACATACAAACAAACAAACAAACAAACAAACAAACAAACAAACAAACAAACAAACAAACCCACTTTCACATATATAATATTAAAGTATAGATGTATAAATAAACATATGTTACGGCACGTTACTACATTTAAATTAGATGTATATAAGTAACATTATATTACAATTTGACTCCATTGCTACTTAGTGATGCACCAGAATGTAGCGAGGGTGAATCGATAGTAATATTACAGGTATATTAGGCACCCAGAGAGATAGAGTCGCCAATTAATTTAAATAATTATTACGGATATGCGGCTGTATGACATTCGTGTTCTATATACTTTCATTTTGGTTAAAACCTTCTTTGTGACGAAAGCTGGCGTTTTAAGAAAGACCAAATGTTAAGGTTGTGACAGTTCACATTTATACCGAGAACATACAATATCTTTTCCGTAGCAATTTATTTTGGTAAATTTTAATGTTATACTATAACCTTACAACTAAATGTATTAAATAGTAGTTGTGGCGAGACTTCAATCCCGTGGACCACCAATAGCAAATTATAAAGAAAATATTTTAATAAAACTTTTGTTATTATGAAATGAATTTGGTTTAATACAGTATTTTCGATTGACATCGAACTTTATTCTGAGGATAGAAATTAAGCAAAATCTAGACATAATTGATCAATGTTTACATCACTAAGCTAGAAACAACTTCTTCAATGGAAAATAATTTTTCGTACGAATTTTGATCACTTTTGCTACTTTTTTAATGGAATTTAAAAAGTCATCATCATGTCGACAGATATTGTTGCCAAATTATTGTTATTAGTTTTTAAAGAACACACCTTTTGCAATACGAGTATATAATCTTACTAGCGGCTCAAGTTTGATTAAAATCCATTCAGTAGTTTTTGGGTGAAAGAGTAACAAACTTCCATACATCTACACATCCAGACATCCAAACATCTTCACAAACTTTCGCATTTATAATATTATTAGGATAGTGGAATTTATATACTGCAAAAATATGAACGCAGAAAGAAACCATTGTGCTTATTTTACTGCGACATAATTTACAAAAATAATTTATTTTTTTCTTAGATTTACACGAATATTTGACATTTTAAATAAAACTACATATCTTTTCGGATTTTAGTTTTATTTAAAATAATTTTATTTATTACAAAATTAATCTTCATGCTATTTAGCAATACCTAATTCTGCATTTCGTAAGTTAAAAAGCAAGTTCCAGAAATCTTTACAGAAATACACAAATACGTACATATATATGTATATTTAAATAAAATATATCCCTTTAATAAAATTAGTATAAATTATATTCTAAGCTCCAATTTTCACTGAAGTATTTTATTAGCATGTCGTCATAAAATAACAAAAATATTGCTTAAGCATATACTATAGAGAAGCAGTTAATTTGAACAACCTCACAAGCTTTTTCAAAGCTTTATTGCTCTCTAACTCATTTTGTACTAATTGTGCAGAAAACTTTCGTGAAGGTTTTTAACATTCTAAATGATTTGCTATAGAACTATTACTATAAACTATTTTACCAGTATTTTTTTAATTATTTTTTCATAACACTTTCTTAGATTACGCGAATATTTGACATCCATTCTAATATTATAAACGTGAAAGTGTGTTTGTTCGTTATCCTTCTTTCACGTCGAAACGGAGTGACGGATTGGCGTAATATTTTGTTTGGAGATAGTTGGAGTGCTGGAGAGTGACATACGCTACTTTTTACCGCGAGAGATTATCTAATTCCCACGGGAAAACACGTTATAATACAGTCCAAAAAATATTTATGATCAGAATTACTTGAAACTCGGTATTAATGTGCTTCAATAAAATTAAATAAGTACGTGTTTTAGCATTTTTCGAAATTCATCCTAAAATAGGGTAGAATAGGGGATGAAAGTTTGTATGAAACTACCTTTTTAGAGATTTTTTAAAAGTTTTAGCGCGAGCAAAGTCGCGAGCTTTGCTAGTTTTAAATAAAACTATCTTTCCGGATATTTTTTTAGCGGATTTATTTTTTAACTATAATTTAATTAATATTATAAGTTAATATTCATAGTATAAAACAACCAATTAATTTTTAACAAACAATCAAAAAAAGATTATTTATTTTAGCCATAAAAGTATTATTTTTAAATTAAATAACCTCTACCTAGTACGGAATACATACATATTAATCAGTCAATACTCTATATTTATATAAATCTTATATTATTAAATGAGCAATTATCTTATATCTATATACACCACTTATAACTAAAGAACGGCTGGATCGATTTCTATGTTCTTTGATTTGTTCGATTTGTCTCCACCTCTAATAACAGAATAACTATTAAAATATCAGAAAAATTCACAAAATAAAATATTAGACAGATGACGTTGGCTAGTAACTATTTAAAATGTGCCTAGAGACGAAACCGAGCGAAGCGAGGGTGAGTCGATATATATAAATTTATTCGTGTATCTCAGAAACTGCTCTAGTGAATTGGGTCAAATTTTGTATTTAGATAAAATTTTGCTTTTTAAGTTTATTTGTATAGTCGTTGCTAAAAAAAAATCGCAATCATCTTAAAAAAAAACAAAAAAAAAACGCTGAGCGAAGCTCGTTCACCCAAATTAATATATTTATTTATATGTACTTATTTAGAAAAAAAATAATACTAAAAGCGATAATATTTTGTCCTGAAACATATTCGCTTATAGGAAATATTTTCTCTTGATGTGATGATGTTCTCCTAGCCGATTCCGGCCACGGCGGCCAATCTCATTGAGACTAGCCAACTGCGCAGGAGATATTATAGTGCACAAGTGTACGCGCAGACACAACGTGCACTCTCTATTCCTGTTACTCTCATTACTCCGGTGGGACGACTGCTGGACACGACCAGTGAGAGTTAAGGCGCAGGACCGACGGCTTTACGTGCTCTCCGAGGCACGGGGGTGAAACACCGCCAACTTCCCAACTCCGGGCTGTTACTGAGACTTACTATACAGAAAGACTCAATAACTAAACTTGGCCCGACCCGGGACTCGAACCCAGGACCTCTGAGTGTGCAGCCGTACATGCTAGCCACTACACCACCGAGGTTTTCTCTTACTGTTATGCCAACTTTATGTAACGATTTCAATTACATCCCGATTATACCATAATCCTACTCGTAAGTTATGTAAAACTCTCAACAAATAGGCTCATTAAATATAAGTATTTAGCTCTTTAAGAGAAGTTTTATAAGGAGAAGTCGATGGTAAATAAGATTAAGACGAAAAAAATATAATAATCACCCTCGCTCCGCTTGGGTTTGTCCCTACTTACGTTTTAAAGTTTAGTATAGATTTCTCAGAGACGAGATATTTTCCCGCAGTAAAAAGTATTCTATATGTTGATCCGGATAACCTAGCTATCACCATACCAAATTTCATCAACATCCTTCCAGTGGTTTTTCCGTGATGCGGTGACAGACAGACAAAAATTCGAAAAACTATAGATTCGGCCTCTGTATCGATAGTAATGTCTATTTTAATAAAAATTTCCAAAAAATACTTAATGTACAGATTCGACTCAGAATTTTATGATATGTATAGATTGCTCTTATTTTTAATTAATGTAACACAAACTTACGTAATATTTTCGCAGACACAATCACAGAACACAAAGCAACTACTATCAGGATCTTCATATTAAAAATATATTATTATTATCTATTTACGTAATATTATTACAGGCTGTTTGGAACTATCAAGCGTCAGTTAGCGAATGTGCGGCCGCGCTGCAACCAGCAATATTTGTATGAAAGGAAAGGTGGCCTGAGTTAAGGTAGTTGGGCAATGTGGGGAAATTTGGAGGATATTTTAAAGTTTATTGTTTTAAATGATTTTCTTATGATATTAGTTTTCGTTGTAAAATCTGAAGAAAGAATACTTTGTTGACAAAAATTACAGTTCCTTCGCTCTTATCCATACTAATATTATAAATGTGAAAGTGTGTGTGTGTGTGTGATGGTTTGTTTGTTTGTCTTGTAAACGGCTTAGCGGATTGGCGTGATTTTTATCTCTTTCTCAGGGGAAAACACGAATAATACAATCCAAAAAAATATTTATGATCAGAATTACTTGAGACTTGGTATAAATGCTCTTCAATACAATTAATTAAATACGTGTTTTAGCATTTTTGGAAATTCATCCCATAAGAGGGTAAAATAGCTGATGAAAGTTCGTATGAAACCTCCCATTTTAGTGTTTTTGTAGTTTTAGCGCAAGCGAAGCCGCGGGTTCTGCTAGTATTTGTACATAATATATGAGTATATAAGTATAATAAAGACAGGGGTTTTAATAGTATAGTATAATATAATAGTATATATTATATATAAACGACGATTATCTATAGATTAACGATTAAACCCTTCGATCAACTATTTGTTGTTGTTTTGATCGAAGATTAAAACTCAAAACAACATTAGGTTTTTCTTTCTTCGTATGCAGTTTAGTCAGAGCTTTCCATATACTTTTTTAGTTAAAAAGTTTATTTATTGATTTTCCTTTTCAAATTTAAATACTCAGAAAATTTTTTTTTACCAATTAAGTTTCGTTTCATATAAAGATGCCTGCATATTAAGAGCAAAGCTGTCGGTAAAAACTAGTTAAAAATGAAAATATAGGCACATATAACAAAAAATATAATACAACAATTACGCCATATAATTTACGCCTTATTGCAAAATCTTATATGTACCTATTGTTGTAAATGTATAGTTTTTTTTCTAATATTATAATATAAGAACGGTATATATGTATTTATTTATTTTATTGTTAAACATAAAAGCTTCAGACAGTAACTTTGTTTGCATATATTCGTTTTTCAACTTTTTATATTATATATCTATCCCACGGGAACCGTACATTATATATTAGATATTAGATAAAAGTAACCTATGTGTTACTCCATATCTTTTTACAAAATTTCATCCATACTCACAAACTTTTACATTTATAATATTAATACGGATAGAGCTACAAAACTTCATAATATTTAAATTTTATTTTAAATATTTATTTTAAATTTTTTTATTAACTTTCCGCGTTTATTTAACTTTTATGTTAATTAAATTCAATGGACATGAAGATACAATTTGGAATGTTTACTATTGAGTCAAC